GCTTTATTCATTTTGCCAGGAATAAGTTGAAAATATCAAATTTAGCTTTCAATGACGTCAATACAGTCCATAATTATGGGACTAGACAATTGAATTACTTGATAGCAAATACATTCAAGTCAAACATTGGCAAACAATCTGTTTTTCACAATGGAATAATTTTATACAATTCATTACCGAATGAGTTAAAAAATATACATGATGCAAGAAGGTTTAAAATCAATCTTAAAAAATACTTGCTCAGGACAATTTGAAAGAGAAATATGTGGCATGATTTGATTACTTAGGAATGAAATATAACTTTAATCTTATAAGACACAATATTAATTCGTTTCCACTGAGTGGAATTCATTATAGTTAACCCTTTATTATTATTTGTTTATATGTATTTATGTATCCCTATCATAAACAAAAATGTTTCTTGGGGTAATAAAGACAATCAATAAATAGTCAAGAATGTGAGGTCCAGTGAGTCCCTTGGTTGTTAGGGGGCCTCACAAATTCCCCTACATTTTAAGTCTCGAATCCAATAAAAGGTGACGAATATTACGAATGTTTTGTAAAACAAAGAGTCCCCTCTGGCAATACCAATGATGTTTTTTTTTTGTAATTCGCATTTTTACTTAACGCGACATGAATGTGACATCACAGGAATGTTTGTGTTTACTGGGGCATTTGATGGGGTATACGGGGCACAGCACACTATACGAACGTACACAGTTAACACAGTTTGATCCTAGAGATATAAGAGCAAGGCATCACTTTCATGCCACACATCACATCCCTGACTCGAATTGAGAGTGCCACTGAAATCACAATGACTGCTATTCCGGACCCTTTTGGTCATTTTATGATTAACATCATTTTCTTTGGAAAGAGCACTATCTGATGAATACCTACTGTCAAAATTTCTTTTGATATTATCAACAAACACCTCAAATCAAACTTCATATTGGTAAGGAATTCTCAAATCCATGAACATCATACTAGACAATTAATATGGGTATGACTTGTTTCATCTTGATGCTGCTAATTCTACACTTGGTCAAAAAAAGTTCACTCACGGAGTTGCACAAATATCACCCAATTCGAAATTGAAGTCAAGAAACATATCCTTATGAACTTATCATGAGTTTTTTGTTTCCCTATTATTTTTTTTAATTCCGTTGTTTATTTCAATAACTATAATTTAAGTTAATAAACGCATGAATAATCTCATACCAGTTATGAATGTGTCTGATTATTCTGCTTTTCTGTTATAGTTACCATTTTAAAGAATGAATGAACGAACTATTTCTACAGCTAACACATACATATTTCAGCGACCCTACATTTTTTTCCACCGACAATATTAGATTACTATTTCCACTATTAAAAAACTCATGTAAATGGAAAAATCTCTTTATTGGCATGCACTTAAGTCCACCAATACAATATACATATATATGTTATATATACTCTGAAAAGTTGAATACTTACCTACCTATCTCTATACCAATTTATCAGAAATCATCTTGGTGAAAAGTAGCCAAGAATTGGAGAGAGTTTGAATCATATTGCTCCGATTTGAAATTCTGTTCTGTTACAATTTGTGAAGTTGTAGATAATTCTTTTGAAATTTCCGACCAAGATAATATTTGATTTCAAGGTCATATTATGTAACTAATTCATTTACTGATCAATGACAATCCTAATTTTTTTCTTATCACAATGAAGTATCAATATCTTGAAGATGAAACAGTAGGTATATTAATCATAAATATCAGGTACAATACACAGCATATACCTACCTAGCATTAAATACCTAAAATAAAATTGGAAAAAAAATCGTTAAGTAATTTTTGACACCTCGTATTTGACACAAAGTTGTTTTGAATGAGCATTATTGTTCCTTGTCTTCATCTTATATATATATACTAAACAAAAAATTCTTCTATATACAATATATAGTTTTTAACAGATTACTTTTTTTTTGTTTCAACAGAAAGAGTATCGGACGATCTACGTTTACACAAATTTTGGAAAATAAGATTCCAATTTTCAGGGCATTCTATGTTATTTTTTTCATGTTGAACATTGCGAAATATCACTAGCGATATTTTCCAAAAAAAAATCGACCCCACCACTGGATTCAGCATCTTTCAATCAAGTCAAGCGCAAAATTTCATTTTAAAATTTCAATTGGCAATAAAGTCGACTCACCATTTTTTATGAATATTTCAGACAAATTCTGAGAAGAGGCAACATTGTCAACACACATGTTGGAAATAATTGAAGTTTCTGGTGAATTAATAAGAATTATTATCGAGTTATAACGTCATCAAAAAAGTTGTGGAGATGATTTGGAGCGTTCCTTCTTTCCTCTGAAGGTACCTAGGTCTAATTCTCGGAATTATGGGATCTTGTCAAAGAGAGGAATTTTCATAAAAAATAAAAAATGGTGTTACCAAAATTGAAGGATGCTTAATTCATTGGTGTGATCGATTTTTCTTGTAAAAAAATCGCTAACGATATTTTGCAATTTTTAACATGACAAAATAACTTAGTATATCTTCGAATACTCTTTCTGCTGGAACAAAAAGGAAATGAATCAGTTGAAATTTATAGATTTTATAAGGGTACTCCGGTCCGGATCACATGCACTGTATCTAAGGTACATTGGGGTAATGAGGCCCACGTTCAAGTATGTTGCCCGTAAAAGAATTATTTAATAATTAACACCACTGATTTCTTGCAAAAATCATTATGAACCCATAATAAGATTTGAAATACATTCTCTGAATGAAGGTTCCTCATAACAAAAAACAAAAACACAAATTTCAAAAAAACATTAAATATGGGCCTTGTTTCCATCATTAGGGTTAATATGGTCCAGTAAAAAATAGGAGGGCGACAAATGTGACAAACAATATTGAGGTTTTATATGGTGAAATTCTATCTACAACTAGAAAGCTCTAAGCTGTATGTACTCACCGGTCTTTCCCAACAAACACTGAAACAACGCACTTCAAAAATGCAATATTTTATAAGAGAGCGAGAAATTCGATACCCTTTGTCTCGCCTGATTAACTAAACAAACAGTTAGAGAAAGTAACAGGAAGTGATCTACACCTTATTAACACTAAGCTTAGGCCACTGGTTGATAGATAACGCCTCATGTCCACGAAAAACAGGATAGGCTTTATTTTCGCCCGGGCCTTATTACCCTATATATAAGGTCGTACCTTTATAGGTAAACCTAACTATACTTAAGGACTGCTCTTGGCAATGAAACATTTGCGGTGTGAGGAGTTTTACAGATCATTAATAAAACTATATACAAAATGAACTCGATTCTCGACAGATCCATCTTTATCACAATAATTGAATCAATGAAAGATCAATTGAAACTGTAAAATAATACAATACCACCATCAACATCATTCAGAAAAGAAGACAGAATAAGTCATGTCCACAAGAAGATGTGTTAGAGAAAAGTGTGGAAATGTGGGCACTCTGTCCATTTGTTTTGATTCAATATAGTAATAATAAGTATACCAACTATGTTTTTCATTTCCACCATTTTCTCTAATACTGCGCCCGAAACATGTTCAGAAAATCGTGAGATTGAATACAGGGTGTCCGGAAAGGTCATGTCGTAAATGATAGTAGATGGATAGATAGATATAGATTCTTTTATATGAAGTACTAACATTATTTTGACACACTCTATCAGCCCTATCATTTATACGACATGACCTTTCCGCACACCCTGTATTGTATAGATGACTTGTGCCTTATTATTGTTTCCTGAATAGTAAATATACTAGGTGACAAAGGAACACCTGGTATTTATAATTCTGTTTCAATAATTTTGACTTGGTTCGAATAAAAACTAATAAAATTTCCATAATCTTAATGGAAAGTTTATCAATTATACGCTATTGTCTGCAAAATATGTAGGCAAAAAACATTAAATAATGTCATAGTAATATAATCATAAAAAAATTCAATATTTTATACGTTTACTTCTCTTTGTCAATGAGTATATTTATAATTATATAATTACAAAGGGCAAAGTGCCTATAGCCCAAAGGGGGTGCGTAGTGCGATGCCCAATTCCCATACGATGCCCAATTCCTTCGATGCCAACCTTCATGTCGATGATTACGAAGATTGCCGAAGAGTTCTACATGCCCGGTAGAGAAAAAAATTCAGAATACACAAGATTCCCACCATGCCCACTTTTTATATCATATTCCCACGATGCCCAATTCCTACGATGTTCAATTCCCACCACGCCCACTTTTCATACATTACCACTTTTCATGCATTCCCACGATGCCCAATTCCCATCATGCCCACCTTGTTTAGATTCCCACCATGCCCACTTTTCATGCATTCCCACGATACCCAATTCACACCATGCCCACCTTATCTGGATTCCCACCATGATAAAGGTGGGCATGGTGGGAATCTGAAGAAGGTGGGCATGGTGAGGATTGGGCATCGTGGGAATGCTTGAAAAGTGGGGATGGTGGGAATTGGGCATCGTGGGAATGTATGAAAAGTGGGCATGATGGCGGGAATCTAAAGAAGGTGGGCATGGTGGGAATTGGGTATCGTAGGAATGTATGCAAAGTGGGCATGGTGGGAATTGGGCATCATAGAAATATATAAGAAGTGGGCATGGTGGGAATCTTGTTTTTTCTGTATTTTTCTCTTGATCTGGCAACGTTGCACTCTTCGGCAATTTTCGTAATCGTCGACATGAAGGTGGGCATCGTAGGAATTGGGCATCGTGGGAATTGGGCATTGTGGGAATTGAGCATCGTATAAATTGGGCATCGTGGGATGCTCCCCGCAAAGGGGGGTCAAGCCACCTGGTGATACAGAGAGGAGAACAGCGATAACAGCAAAAACAAAAATATTCTGTTTTCGCTGTTTTTTTATACAGCAAAAAATGAAAAAGTTCTTCTGGGTATATTTTCATCACCCAGTACATTATTTCTGTACCGTATTTAAGAAATCTTCTGTGTGTAAACGGTCATGGCTTTGTGGGGCGCCACAGGGTCGAATACGGACTTCCCATCAACTTTGTAATCCTCATATTTGAGAGTATAATGCAGCTCGAAGCCTAGTTTTTTGGCAGCTCGAGCAGTGTAATAGCTGGAGCAGTCCACCGAGCAAAAACCGCATCCTCTTCCTTTGGCCAGGTCTCTGAAACAGGAAAAAAAAACTGAAAATCGGTGTTTGTGTAAGGCAACAAAATGTGGCCTATCTTTGAAGGAACACCTGATGATGTCTTTCCTACCGAAATTATGACTACTACCCAGGCAACCAGATGACGTTCCAGGGACGTCTTTTTTACGTTACTTGAATGACCAAGGTTACGTCAGTAGTTGACGTCGCATTGAAGTGATAATGACGTGAATAAGTCACAGCCCAATGACGTCATATTACTCACGTCGTATTGACGTCATTCACTCATCGACTGACGTCATAATGACGTCAAAATCACGATTGAATTTGGTGATGATACGTAAAAAAGATTTCTTCAACATGGTGTGATCAACACCACTAGCCTCTGATGACATTATATAATATTGATTATGCATTGTTGAGTCTGCTTGGTGGGTCCCTCCTGTGTCATGTTCATTCAATCGCCTATTCAGCAGCGCCATCCTTCAGTACGCATCTCCATCAGAATGCAATCAGTTACTCGTATTTGTATAAAAAATTATGTAGTTTTTGTCGGCGAGATGTGAGCAAACAAAGAATAGTTTGATAGCAATGGAAATGAATTTGGCTTCACTTTGTTGAATAATGTATATTGATGATGCATTCTTTGTCACCCAACAAAAATCTGAATAGTAAATTATTGAAAAATTTCCTGAATGACGAAGCTCACCAAATTGGTACGTCACATCGACGTGATTTTTAGACGTCATAGATACGTCACTGCAACGTTATAAGAGTAACGGTTTCAATATTGGTATACCTAAACAATCATTTTTATATATACATAGCTTGTTGGTTTCCGAGATATACAGTGTGTCAAAAGTTTTTAGAAAAACGTTTTTCTACTACTTTTCGGGTATATTAATAATAAGAAAGAAACTTGCATGTTGATTCGCTTTCATGAGTTTTACTTTTGTCACATGATTATATATAAGTATCCATGGTTTAGAGAAGGTATGGGAAAAATAGACGTCGACAGGACGTCCCTGCAACTTCATTAAACTGACGTCTTATTTTACTGATCTAAGTGACGTTCACTCGACGTCGAAACGATGACGTGATTATCACGTCATAGAAAGTACGTCATAGCGATGTCAGAAAATTGGTGTGTGACGTCACTGACGAAGAATCACCAATGAGGGACGTCACAGTGACGTGATCATTCGTCATCTGGTTGCCTGGGTAGATCATTTCTCTTAGTGAGAGATCAATTGACTTTGTAATCTTGCAGTTACGCTTACTACAAATAACAACAATCTTGTAATTAGATCTTGATTGACAAATCAATCTCATAACTAGATCAATAAAACCATGCTTCTGTCAAATTGAACTCTAATTTCAAATATGACTGAGCTCAATTATTGTAAGACTCGATCTTGCAAGTAGAGGACAATCGACAGATAAATCTTGTAATTAAAGCTTGATTGAAAGATGAATCTCATAATTAGAGCAATCAAAACATCCTTTTGTTGAATTCAACTATAAAAATTGACAGACAAATCTGGCAATTAGAGCTTAATTGAAAGACGAATCTTATTGTAACTAGACATCGGAACATTCTTCTGTCAGATGGAGCTCTAATTTCAAGATGAATGTAGCAAATACTTATAGTTCAACAGTAATATCATTCACGCCAATTAAACCCTACGATGTATGTTGCATAACATAGCTCAATTGTATGATTAATCTTCCAATTCGATGTCAATAGATATATAAATCTTACAATTACGTTAATTATAACATCATTCTTCCAATTATATAGAGCTTATATAATTGAAGGATAAACCTCTCTGGTATGCAAATTGATTTTTGTCTGTTAATTGATCTCGAATTTGAAGAAACAAAATTGAAATCCGTCTTGCGCAATAAGCACTTAATTGAAAAGTAAGTCTTGCAATTAGACTGATTATTAAAGTGACTCTATAATTATAACAACATCCATCTCGCAATAGAAGGTTGATTAACAGATAAATCTTGCAGTTTTAGGCTAATTTTTTTATTTTTTTTTTAATTGAAGCACATTTCTGTCAATTGAGCTTTAATTTCAAGATTATGTAAAGTTCCAATTTCTGGAAACTGAACTGAAAACAATTGAATATCTAACGGATAAAAGTGATGATTAACAGTCGCTATTGAGTGGTATAGATTGTACCTAATCAATAGATCAATCTCTTTTGAAATCCTATAGGATTTTGCCAAATATTATACGACCTTGAATTGTATTGATCACCATTTTCAAACATCATACTTATTCATATAAGTTTAGGTTTATGAGAATGAGCCTTGTATTTCGACAGTGACGATTAAATATTTCAAAATGAACACTTTTGGTATGTCGTTTTGATAAGTAGGTACGTATAAGTATACGTACTTTGAAATGACAATATTTATCTCTGGAGTCTGGACCCGTCTTTTGTTCAAGATTCGATTTTTATCTTTGGGATCTTGGAAACTCCATGTTGATTTCCAATGTGATAAAATAATGATATAAATAATAAACGATAACTTTCAATGTAGTTTTCAGAAGATCTGCATGGACTGTATAAACATTTTCGAAATGTTTTTTTTTTCAGTCTTCCGAGGGGATAGAATATAAGCACTTACATGGTTTTAGACATGAGTTCCTTGGCTATGCCTCTTCCTCTATATGTGTCATCAACTGACAAAATTTTCACAACGATCGCTTTATCAACTCCAGGATATTTTTGGAACGGATCTGAAATTTCCTCGATGTGTTGAAGCAACTTGACGATTTTGCTGAACTTCTCATCTTCACAAACGAATTCTTCCTCAAGTTTTCCCCTCTGCATGATGCCTGTAATGAAATCAACCATCAAATCGGACATTCAACATACTTTTTACTATCTATTGATTGAACTAAACCAACCACATTAAAATCTAATAGATTTCTCAGGATTTCTCAATGACTTATTGTTTGGGTTAGGTTCAGAAAGCACAAGAAATGTGTAGGATAAGTTCAGTAATGAACACGCTGAATTTTTTTCGTATAAATTGTTCAGATCTACGTCCCAAAATTTCGATGCATTTCTGCAACGTCATCGATAAACATGTCGTAATAGGTCAGATAGAGTGAGCCAAAATAATGTCAATCGCACTTTGTTACCTTCGTTGATCTTGAAAATTTGAGTGAAAACAAGATATATTTCATGTATATCTTTCAAACGGTTGCCATGGTACCAATAAAATTCGGGCAACTATTAATAACTCATCCTTATTCCCATATTGCACACGACGTCCAATGGACGTCCAGTTCATGTCAAACTGATGTCCAAACGTCCATGAACCAGACTTGGACGTTCAATGAATGTACAAATAAGAATATATTTTGTAACGTTCGGTACTTACTGTACGTCGAATGGAGGTCCATTGGGAGTAGGATATTCGACATTACCGAAACACCCATATTTGTAAATTTCAGAACGTCCATGAAATGTACAGAATCGGATCTAAATTGTACGTTCACAATTTGTACGTCAATGAACGTTGAATGAAAGGACGATTCCGGATATATATTGTAAGTTCAACATTGTGCGTCTGATGGATGTCCATTGAAAGTACAATATTCGACATAACCGAAATATCCATGTTTGCAGGTTTCTGAACGTCCAAAAGTTGTACCTGATTAGATTCAGTTTGTACGACGTTTACAAAATATACGTTAATACACGTTCAGTGGATGTACGATTCCGGATATATATATTGTACGTTCAGTTTCGTACGTCTAATGATTGTCCGCAGTGGATGTACAATTTTCGACATCATGAAACATCCATATATTATGGCGGTTTCAGAACGTCCAAGAAATTTAAGGAAGTTATCTAAATTCTAATTCAACAAATTGAACATTTATGCACGTTCAATAAATGTATGATTCTGGATATATACTGTACGCTCGATTATTGTATGTCTTATGAATGTTTCAGAACGTCCAAGCAATGTACATAATTGGATCGAGTTTCTACGTTCACAAATTGTACTTTCATGTATACGTTCAGTGGGTGTACAGTTTTTGACATAAGCGAATCATCTATATTTGTGAATTATATTATCATTATAGGTTCACAAGTTGTACGTTTGTGTACGTCCAGTGGAAGTAAGATTCCGAATATGCATTGTACATTCAGTTTGGTACGTTTTATGGATATGTCTATTGGGCGAACATTATTTGACATTATATTGTGCGACATAGGATTCAGTTTGTACGTATGTACATTCAAATACGTTCTATGAAAGATCAATCTTGTATATACAGGGTGATTCAAAATTCGATGTAAATATTTCAAGGGCGTATTGTGGGGATCAAAATAAGACTTTTTCTTCAAATCAACATGTGTCCTAAAATGCACCCCCTCCGAGCTACACTGTAAGGTGGGAAAAAAAAACAAGATTATCTAAAACTGTGACTATAATAACTCTCGTTGGATTGGTAGAGCTGGTCCAATAGCTTGGCCGCCACGTTCCCCGGATTGCACCCCATTAGACTTTTTTTTATGGGGATATGTGAAAAGTGCTGTTTATGATGCTGGGCCCGTGCATTCGGTTGAGGTCCTCCGTCAACGCATCATTGATGCTTTCCAAAACATAAGAACCACTCCTGGGATTTTAGAACGTGTTCGACGTTCTATGCAAAGAAGAATGGAAAGTTGTATAGCAGCAAGGGGAGGACATTTTCAACATTTATTATGAGATTAATAATTATTTAATTACCCAATAAAGTTAGTTTGATATTGTGAAAGTACCCCCCTTTCGTTGATTACGATTTTCTGGCAAACGGTTAGTTGTATGACAAAAATGCAAGACACCGAATTCTCAGTTTTTTTATGGCCAATAAGATTATGCTATTCGAATTCATAGTTTCTCTTTTTGAACATAAAAATTGGGCCAATAAAAGTGTGGACCCCCCTCCAACTCCCCCAAAACTGGGTTTACATAATTTTTGGAGCAAAAAAAGAATAGAGTGCCTAAAAAAACAGGGGTATGCCAATTTTCAGAAGATTCGATTCGTTATTATAGTCACAGTTTTAGATAATCTTGTTTTTTTTCCCAACTTACAGGGGCTGTAGCTCGGAGGGGGTGCATTTTAGGACACATGTTGATTTGAAGAAAAAGTCTTATTTTGATCCCAACAATACGGCCTTGAAATATTTACATCGAATTTTGAATCACCCTGTATATTGCACGTTCTGCTTAGTATGTTGAATGGATGTCATCATTCGCGACATAACCTTTTCGGACACCATGTGTATAGCTGTTGTTTCTGAAGGGGTCCCACAATTTTTCGATTTCGGGCCTAAGTTCATAGGACTTTTTTTCTCGTCTCAATGAGAACTATACTTACTATGCTCCATTGAAGCTAGGCAGAAACAAACTAAAACACCCTGTATTCATTCATCATACCATTCAGACACACGCCAATAATTTTCCCATCGTAAACAGCCAAGAGGTTCAGACCGCTGTCCAGATCCTGGAGGGTGAACTTCTCTAAGTCGTAGCATCTTGGGTTCTCCTCGTTGATGAGCTCCAGAAAGGAGTTGAGCGGTTCGTCCTTGTAGAAGAAGTTTTGAAGGAACTCCCGGATCCGCTCTCTGTCGTCCTCGGAAGCTATTTGGATTTCGAAGTCGATGGGGCTGCCTGGCGTGGAAGGAGTCGAACACGTGGACAAGCTGGGGTTGCTCTCGACGGACAACTGGGGCTGGAATGGAAATTACAAGGTGAAACCAACCCAGGCAACCAGATGACGAATGATCACGTCACTGTGACGTACGTCCCTAATTGGAGATTTTTCGTCAGATACGTCACACACCAATTTATGACGTCACTATGACGTACTTACTATGATAATCACGTCATCGTTTCGACGTCGAGTGAACGTCACTCAGATGGGTAAGAGAAGACGTCAGTTTCATGACGTTGTTGGGACGTCCTGTAGACGTCTATTTTTCTCAGACTTATTCACGTCATTTATCACGTCATGCGACGTCAACTACTAACATCACCTTGGTCATTCAAGTGACGTAAATAATAGCAGGTCACTGGAGCGTCATCTGGTCGCCTGGGAAGGTTGGCCCCAAAATAGCACCAACGGTACAACGCCTATGATAAGTGGCAGAAGTAATTAGAATATGCCTGCATCTCGACTGATATGCATAGTTTTCAGGTTGGTATTATTGTATTGACCCAATATTGAGTCCAAATGGTAGGAAGAATTTGAATGCATTTCAGTGCAGGCATGTTCCAATTATTTCTGTAAGTTTAGAACGACATTTTTCGGAAACTGTGCATCAAAAAGCCATAAACTAGGGTACAGTTGGTGTTATACATATATTAGTGAAGGAGATGATGTTTATTTTAGAAATGGAAAGACTTGGAAAAGAGGAAGAATAAAGGAGAAACATTCTGCACCTCGATCATATATTGTAGATACAGGGGATGGAGAACTAAGGAGGAATAAAAAGTTCCTAAGGTCAGTTTCTGATGATGAGCCTCTAGTAAATTTAGTAAATTGCAATAACAACTCTTCTGAAAGTTCAACTGATCTTGAGAATAACTATCCTTCTAATTTGCCTAAACCCGAACAATCATTGTCGGGTGTTAGTCAAGTCGTATTCCTAAATTGCCATATAGATTCAAAGATTACGATTCAAATTGATACTTGTAAGGAGGAATGTTATATATTATAGTTTGATTGCTCGTTATGTATGATTTTGTATTGTGTAGTATCCATGGTTATGGATGAAGGATTGTCATAACTTTTAGAATTAATTAATAAAAGTTTCATGTTCATTGGAGACTTTTTATATCATTATAAGAAGATTAAACAGTTGGAAAGAGAATTAAACGCCCTATAAAATAATGTGCATCTTGACGCCCTTTTCATATAAGGTTCTGAAGGTAACATCTACCCCTTCTAGGGGGTTGAACCAAGATAACTGAAAATATGCATTTGAAGTGTCCCTCTTGACATTGGAATTGACCTATCTTTTCGATTTTTCATTTTATTTACTGAAAGGTAGATATTGAGGGTGGGGAGTTTTCCAATTGACACGGCATTTTTCGGAAACTGCTCAACAGAAAATGATTTTATTTATTTATTTATTCATTTATTTATTGAAAATGTAACTTCCAGTCAGAATCAAGTTCTGGTATAAGGAAGTATAGTTATAAATAATACCTAAAACTATACAATTATAATAAACTAATAAATAATATAATATTTGAAAACATTAAGTATTAAATTTTGATAAATCATTTCATATTGGTGAGCAAAAATCAATTTGAATATGAATCAAAAGTTGAAAAAAAAATCATCTATCTCGTTCAGAAATGATAAATTTTTTAAGTTGGTATTTGAATTTTATTGTATTTCTGCAATTTTTCATATTATGGTAATTTGTTATATTCCAAGAGAGCAGCGTGGGTGAATCTTTTTTGGCCTATAGAAGAATTAGCGATATCAAGATGAAATAAACCATGTTGTCTAGTTTGGTAATTATGAATATTATTGTTTCGTGTTAAAATAAAATTAGATTTCAATCTTTTATTTATGATATTGTATGTAATTTTCAGTCTTTCAATTTTGAACATTTCTCATTCTAATGAGAATGATTCAGTTATTTTATATAATTGATTTGTTAATTGGTATATCATATGGTAAACGATACAGTACTTTCAATGTCTTTTTATATAATGCAGATATTTTATTGAAATTGTTTTTTGAACAGTGTCCCCCCCAAACATTTATCAAATAGTTAATACGAGTGAGTATATGAGAATATAGAATTATATTTACAACTT